TATGTGAGGATATTCTCCAGTTGGCTTCCCAGGTGGGAAACCTAAGTCTGTACCCTTGGGACAGAAGTGACAGTGGTTAGCTGGCTCAAGACATCACTCTGAGTCTTCAAATAAGGCTTTGGAAATCAATTTTGCTTAGTTTTGTCAAAACATTTTTTTTTTAATTATGCTGGGGCCTGGGAGACTACTTGAGTGGAAGCATGTAAGTCCAAAAATGCCTATTACGTGTCTGTATCTGGCTGTGAGTGGTAGAATCCTAATTTAAAGTGACATAAGGTGAAAAATAAAGGAATGAGTGGCTCAGGTAAATGGAAAGTCCAGAGGCATGTTGCCTTCAGGGACAGCTGTATCCAGGTGCTCGAGTGTATCATCAGACTATCTCTTTTGCTCATGCTCTCCCCATTAACATCTCCTCCAGGCATACATCTTACCAATTTAGCAATCTTGGCTATAAGAGAGCCATTTCTCTAATAATTCTGGCAAATCCAGGTGGGGTTGATTTCTCTTCACCCTCCTGGAGCCTCATGCCCACGTGTGAACATCTGTACCGCCTTACTGGCCAGACCACAGTCACTGGTCCTGGGCATGGGGTCAGCCCCGTCCTCGTCATAAGGACTAATCCCAGAAGACTGGAGAATGCGTTCTTGGCAGGCAGGTTGACGGATGCCCGTGCCGGTGGTGGAGCAGAAATGAAAGGGAAGGGCAGGATTTCGGCGCTGGAAGAGAAGGTGGAGGCAGGCACTGCTATTAAGTGAGCGTTTCCTCTCCTCCGATATGGTCTCAAGGCATGTGGGTATAGCTGTGTATATACAATTTGTGTGTATGTAGCTGCTCTCCCCCTTTCACAGATAAGAAAATGAGGCTCAGAGAGGTTAAGTGACTTGCCTAAGGTCACAAAGCTAATAGGCGAAGAATTCAAACTCAGGTCTGTCTTCCTCAAAGCCCATTCTTTCACCACTCTGATACCTGAAGACACTTACTGATCAGCAGAGAGAGCTCAGAAAATAAAATATAAATGCCTAAGGGTGTGCTAGGCCCTGTGTTAAGGGTGGGAATACACAGAAGAAAAAATGTAAAAAGACTGCAGGGCCTCTCAGCCCATGAGCTCCCCACAGTCAAGTGTGGGAGATGGAGGGGCAAACAGCAGTTACCATAGAGAATGGCGGGGGGTAGGCATAGGGGACTGTGAGACATAGCAGGTGCTTAATCTAGTCTGGGTGTTCAAGGAAGATTTCCTGGAAAAGGTGATGCTTGAGCTGAGGCAATAACAAGCAGGTCAAGATGAGGTTGGGGAGAGGGTATGTAGATACCTATTAGTTGGGACTCTTGAGTAACAGAAACAGAAACCCAGCTCCCACGGAATTAAGCAAAAAAATGCATTTATCGGCTCATGTAACCAGAAAGTCGAGGGGTAGTGATGGCTTCAGGCATGGCTGGATCCAGGAGCCCAGCTAACATGAGGGAGTCATGCCTCCATCTCTTGTCTTCATCTTCTTGGGTTGGCTTCCATCTCAGGCAGGCTCCACAGGTGGTGACTAGAGATGGCCCCACACCTCCAGCCCCACACCCTACTTGCTTAGCCTCCCCAGAGCATCCTGCAAAAGTCTCTAGCCAACTTTTTCTGACCTCGATTGAGTCACGTATGCGTCCCTGAACCAACACCGTAGCCTAGGAACGGAACACTGTGATTGTCCAGGCCTGGGTCACGTGTCCACACCTGGACACGTAGACTGAGACTGTGCATAGGAAAATCAGGGGTGTGTGGCTACCTTGGGCCTGACAGAAGTTCCATTTGGCCAGAGCGCATGGGTCTGATCACGAGGCCCCCATAAGCCATGGGAAGAATTGCAACCTGAAGATAGTGGCAAGTGTGGGCAACGTCGTAAAAGCAGAAAGTGGCATGCCCGCTGCGTGGAGAGAGGCGGGGGCCAGGTGGGAGGTGATGGGGGCTTGGGGTGATGGGTAGGGCTTGGTGGGGAGTAGGATCAGGGGCTCGTGGAGGGGAAGGAGTTCACAGTGATCCTGACTGTTCCACCCGGCTTGTTCCAGCAGGGAAGCCTGGGAGGGGACCACGCTAGGAGATAACGTGGTGAGTTCAGGTGGTCCCGGGGAGTCGAGTATTTCATAGTTGCTGTGATGGGGGGGGGGGGGGGCGCGTCAGGGTCACGTGGCCTCAGGAGAGGGGCCCAGAGTGAGAATGCAGTAAATATTGATGGAGCACGTACTGTGCGCCAGGCTCTATTCTAGTGAGCAAAGCATCCGGGACCCGGACAGTGAATGCGCAATACAGTGTCAGTTGTGTGACGTGTTGGCAGGTGGTAAATGCTAAGAGAAAGGAAAAATCGTGCAGCGAAAGGGGGTCTGGAGTACCATGTTAGTGCAGGCAGGTAACAGTACTAAATGGGTGATCAGGAGAGAGACACGAGCAGGGACAGGCAGGCCGGGTGGGTGTCTGGGGAAAGGGCGTCCAGGCAGCGGGGCCAGCTGGGCAAGGGCCCTGCGGTGGGAGCGTGCTCCCGAGTATGAGGAACAGCAAGGGGGCCGTGGGGCTGGGAGAGAGCCAGGTGGGGAGTGAGGCTGGGAAGGTAAGGGCCGGGTAGAGCCTGTAGGGCCTGTGGGCTATATGGGGACTTGCTTTTCCTGAGCCCGGGAGCCATGGGAGGATTCAGAGCAGAGGAGGGCCGTGACCTGATTTCCATCTTCATATGATCGCTCCGGCTGCTCAGTGAAAATGGACTGAGGAGACAAGGGCAGAATCAGGGGGCCAGTTCGAGTTATGCAGGCAAGAGACGAGGATGCCTTGGACCAGGGCGGTGAGAAGAGGGTGCACAAAACACACAAACGCCCAATAAGTGCGAGTGATGTGAAGTGGGGGGGGGTGGGGAAGATTCTGGCTCGTGTGTGTGTGTGTGAAAATACACATAACGTAAAATTTACCATCTTAACCGTTTTTAAGTGTACAATTCAGTGGCATTAAGTACGTCCACACTGTTGTGCAACCGTCACCACCATCCATCCACAGAACTCTTTTCATCTTGTAAAACTGAAACTCTGTCCCCATGAAACAGTAACTACCCAACCTCCCTCCCCCCAGCCCCTGGCAACCAGCATTATAATTTGTCTCTATGGTTTTGGCTACTGTGAGGACCTCATGTAAGTGGAATCAGACAGTATTTGTCTTTTTGTGACTGGCTTATTTATCATAATGTCCCCGAGATTCATCCATGTTGCAGCATATTGCAGAATTTCCTTCCTTCTAAGGCCGAATAATATTCCATTGTATGTATATACCGCATTTTGCTTATCCAGTCATCTGTGATGGATGCTTGGGTTGCTTCCACCTTCTGGCTCTTGTGAATAATGCTGCTCAAATATCTGTTCGAGTCCCTGCTTTCGATTCTTTTGGGTATATATCCAGAAATGGAATTACTGGATCATATGGTGGGTCTATTTTTAATTTTTTGAGGAACCTCCATACTGTTTTCCGCAGCAGCCGCACCATGTTACATTCCCACCAACGGTGCACAAGGGTTCCAATTTCTCCACATCCTCGCCAACACTTGTTTTCTGTTTTTTGGTAGTGGCCATCTTAACGAGTGTGAGGTGATGTCTCATTGTGGTTTTGATTTGCATTTCCCTGAGGATAAGTGATGTTGAACATCTTTTCACGTGCTTATTGGCCATCTGTATATCTTCTTTGGAGATATGTCTATTCAAGTCCTTTGCCCATTTTTGAATTGAGTTGTTTGGTTTTTTGTTGTTGAGTTGTAGGAGTTCTTTATATATTCTGGATGTTAACCCCTTATCAGATATACGATTTGCAAATATTTTCTCCCATTCTGTGGGTTGACTTTTACTCTCTGGATACTGCCTTTTGATGCACAAATGAAGTCCAGTTTGTCTATTTTTTCTTTGTTACCTGTGCCTTTGGTGTCATATCCAAGAAGTCATTGCATGGCACTGTTTTGAAGGTGAAGTTGACAGGATTTGCTGCTGGGTTGGACTGGGGTGGGAGAGAGAGAGAGAGGAGTCAAGGCTTTTGGCTGCCTTCAAGGCTTTTGGCCTGAGCATAAGGAGCTGTCAGCAACAGCGAGTGGAGTGATTTAGGGGGAGAAACCAGGAGATCAGCTTTGGATGCATTAAGTTTGAGGTACCAGCTCAACGCCCAAGTGGAGGTCACGAGGAGACAGTTGACCCCGACTGTGGCATTGAAGAGAGAGATTTGGGCTGGAGATGACAATCCAGGAGTCATCAGGAGGGAGGGGAGACGGTGGCAGAGAAATTAGCAAGTATGAAACTTCTGCCGCCTGTGCCAGAATGGCTGGGTTTGGCCCAGCGGAAGGAAAAAGCCTGAAAACTTTCTTGAGCCCAGGGCGGGAGGGCAGAGAGAGCGGAGGACAAGCAGACATCACCTCCTTGGCCTCTGATCAAAAGCCGCCCCAGCCTGGCAGCTCCTTGATTGCGTGTGGGTCTGCAGGTGTGTGTGCCAGGCACTGGGACATGGGTGGCACCGTCGGAGGCCACGGCTCAGTTCACCTTTATGGTTCCGGTGCCCGGGACCAAGCCTGGCCCTGGGAGAGCGCCTGCCACCGGGTGTTGATTGAATGAATGAAAGGAGTCTTGTGTGTTCCTCTGCAGCAGACGGGAAAGGTTTGCGGGTGGGAAGACGCCCGGCCAGCACCACCATTCCCCAGTATTTGACAAAGTGTGATTCTTTAAGACTGTTTTTATTGAAGTCTGTCATACGTAGAGAAAGGTGCACACATCCTGAGTGGTCAGCTCAGTGAATTTTCAGAAGATGAGTGTGCTCGTGGGATGGCACCCAGATCAAGAAAAACACATGCCCAACACCCCCTCCCCCACCCCAAGACGCCTCGTGCCCCCTCCAGTCATGGCCCCCCAAGGGTAAGCACCATCCTGAGATCTCCTTCCAGAGATGAATTCTGCCTGTCTTTGTATTTTATATGCATATAAAGTACTTTACATGCATAAAATCATATGTATGTTTTCTTTTGTATTGGCTTGTTTTGCTCAACATAATATCTGTGAGATTCCTCCATATTGTTGTGTGAAGTTCTAGCTTATTCTTTCTCCTGGCTGTCCAGTATAAATTTATTTATTTGTATTTACTCATTTGTCTGTCCTCTTGTTAATGGGCAGTTGAGTCGTTTCCAGCTGGGGACTGTAGCAAACAGTGCTGCTGGGAACATTTCGATAGGTGCCCTTTGGTGAACAGTTAGATGCATTTCTGATGGACGTGTACTTAGTGGTGGATTAGATGGGTCGTAGAGAAGGTGCGTGTTCAGCTTTTGCTTCTGTTATGCCAAAGAGTCTTCCAAAGGGATTTACCTGGTTACGCTCCCACCAGCAGAGCATGCAAGTTCTGGTTGCATCACATCCTTGTTAACACTGGTATCACTTTTTTTTTTTTTTTAAGCCATTCAGATGTAGCGTGGTCCCATGTTGTACTTTTAATTTGCATGCATTTCCCTGATGGATAATGAGATTGAGCACCCTCCCATATGCTTATTGACTATTTAGATAACCTCTTGTACAAATATCTCTTCAAATGTGCCCATTTTTCTATTGGGTTGCCTGTCCGGTTCTTATTGATTTCACAGAGCTCTTTATATATTCTGGATATCTTGTTTGATATATGTATTGCAAATATCTTCTTCCATGTGTAACTTCTTTCAATCAGTAAGAGGAGGAAGCAGGAGTTTTGAGCCTCAAAATCATTGATTTGGACACAGGGTAAGCCCTTCACCTGCCTCAGCCTCAGTTTCCCTCTCTAAACCCTGCAGAGTTAGCCCAGTGCTTGGTATATAAATGGAGCTGTGACTGTTATTATCACCTTTGCTGGGATGAGAGTCCTGAACTAAAATAGGCAAGACAGACCCTGTGGGCCTTTTCAACTTAAGTCATCCCTGTTTCTCAGGTTAGTTGTGTAAATATCTAGTAAGCGCCTACTATATATCAATCTCCAGCCTAGGCATTGAAAGTACAGCAGTGGACAAGACCCAGTTCCTTGGAGGGCGTTGTAGGGGGGTGAGTGCAGGGGCTGTGGGAGCCCAGGGGAAACACTAACCGGGCTAGGGCATCATGGAAGGCTTCCTGGAGGAGGTGTGCCTCATGGTAGAGTATACTTGGGTAAGCCTCTTCTGTTGAGGTGCAGGCTTGGGTGCCTTCTGTGTGCCAGGCCCTGGTTCCCAGCCAGGGGTGATTGTGCCCCTGGGGAACACTTGGCAATGCCTGGAGGAATTTTTGGTTGTCACGACTGGGGGTAGGGGTACTGCTGGCATCTAGCGGGTAGAGGCCCGGGTTGCTGCTTAACATCCTACAATTATCTGACCCAAACGTTGACAGTGCCGAGGTTGAGAAACCTCAAGATGGACAGCTACAACACCGTGTGACATTACAATAAGGGGAATGAGCAGAGGGATGGGGAATGTTCTCGGGTCCGGAGGCTGTCGGAGAAGCCTTTGCAGAGGGAGGAACCTGGAGCTGAATTTTAAGGAAAGAGTGGGAATTGGCAGGAAGTGGGGGACGTTGAGGAAGGGCAGGGTCATGGGGATGGAAAGGCAGTGTGTGCTCAGAGCTTTCACTCCCTCTCTAGGACAGGCCTAGAAATGAGGCTGCGAGGGCCATGGGGACCAGACGCAGAAGGACTGCATCTACCTGTTGTCCACCACGGGAGCCGCGAGCCACACGTGGCTGCTGAGCCCTTGAAACGTGGCTAACGCGGCTGAGGAACTCAGTGTTTTATTTTAATGTAATTGAAGTTTAGATTTCAAAACAGATACTCGATTGTGTTCTTGGAAAATTTTTGAATACGTGTGGAACTATTTGGGGATGTGAAAGTGCTTTTCCAACTTTACATTTTAGGAACTCTAAATACAGATCAGGTATTTCCAGTGCAAATTGATCAGCCAAATTGAGATGTGCTGGATGTAGAAGACACACCCCAGACCTCAAAGACTTAGTATTAAGGAAAAAAAAAGAAAGTAAAATGTCTCATTAAGTTTAATTTTTATATTGATTTTTTGTTATATTAATTTTTATGTTGATTAATGATAATATTTTGGATATGTTGGGTGAAATGAAATCTATTCTTAAACTTAATTTCACCCTTTTCTTTTTAGTTTTTGAACGTGGCTACTGGGAAATTGAGTTCCACATGTGACTCAACTTGGGCTCCTGTTGCCTGTCGCTGTTACAAACTGTAGGGAGGAGTGGGACTGTCGCGCTGAGGCTGAGGGCTCATGAGAGGGTTTGAGCAGTGGTAGGGGAAGGACATGGTCAGGATTCTGTGGTAGCTACACACTCTGGCCGCAGTGGTGAGAGAAGATTCCAGAAGACGGACAAGTTCAGCCATAGGGAGACTGCGTGGCCTAGGTGGCCTGTGCTGCAGCCGCAGAGCGAAGCCCTGAGGCCGCAGACAGGTGGTGCCCACTGCCGGTCCACGGGCCAGTGACCAGCTGGGCCCCGAGGGAGGAGGAGCCTCTGGGGAGAGGCGGGGACTGTCTGGTCCTTCAAAGAGGCCTCGCAGGCAAGGGCCAGCAGGAGAGACCTCGGCCACTGCAGATCTGCCTGTTCCTGGCGGTCCCCACTCCGGACACCTGCCAGCCCCAGCCTGCCCCTGGCCCCCACCCTGGCTGCTGCCCGGACCCCACTCAGGTTGGAAACCCCACCTCTTGCTGCTTTCCACTGCTTATCAGCTACGTGACCTTGAGCAAGTGGCTGTCCCTCTCTGGGGGCTGCCTGCCTTCATGGCCTCACCCATGTCACACCTAGAGTGCAAGGAGAGAGCCGAGATGCCCGCGTCTCGTGACACGTCTTCCTGGGCTGGGGGTGACAGTATGGAGCCCCGGAGGAGGGGCACACGGAACTCTCCTGTTTGCAGGGTGGCCTTCCATCTCCCGTCTCTGAGTGATGTCCCCATTTCACTGCTTCGGAAGCTGAGGCTCAGAGAGGTGAAGCGGCTTGCCCGGGGTCACACAGCTCGACAGAGGCAGAATCGCGATGAGGAAGGCTGACCTCGAGGGGCCCGGGCCCCTGCTGCTGTGGCCTGTATCTCAGCGTGGGATCAAGGGCAGGGCGCTGCAGCTCTCTGAGCCTCAATTTCCTCATCTGTCGAGCGGGGAAGATAACAGCGCTGCCCGCAGCGGGTTGCTGTGAGGATGTAGTAAGCTGAGTGGAGCAGCACGGCGCTGTGCAGGCGGGGCTGCAGATGGCAGCTTCCGTTTGTTGATGGATCTGCACGTAAGTCCTCCGGCAGCTCTCCGTGGTGGGTGGAATGAGCCCATTTTTCAGGGGAGGAAACTGAGGCTAAGATGTGTAGCTGGTGAGAGCAGGGTTGGGGGCCCAGCCAGCTCCTTGGCTCCAGAGCCCTTTTCCTCGCCTGCATGGCCCCCATCCTCGCCCTCACCCCGGAGCCTTGGCGTTATTACCTCTTGTGCGTGACAAGGGCGGGCTTGTCCTGTGCGCCAGCCTGGTCCTTCGTCCCGGATGACTGGACACGAACGGGCACAGGGCAGCCTCCCAGGTGGCATTCACAGGTGCCCAGCCTGCAGAGCCTGTTCCCTCCCTTGGAAACTCGCTTTCCTTTGCTAGGCGAGCTGTAACCTTTCCTGCCTCCTGCACTGAGCGTCCTTCTGACAGCCAGAGTGGTTGGGCAGGAAGCTGGCACAGAACAGGCCCAGGACGTGGCCAGATCCTCAAAGCCAGAGCTGGGAGAGGCTGTAGAGGTCATCGACCCTGGGTTCTGGTTGTCTAGGTACCTTGTTCAGCCTCAGTCTCCATATCTGGAAAATGGGAGGAACTGTCAGCTCGGCAAAAACGGCAACGTCTGACAATACAAAGTTGGTGCAGAAGGGGAACTTGCGGACTGCTGGTGGGAGGGTCCTTGGAGGGCAGTTCTGGCAGTTTCTGCTGAAATGTAGAGAGTGCGTGGCCCCTGAGCAGCCGACCTGCTTCTGGTAACTACTTAGAGCTGTGCTTGTCAAGTTTTAACATGCATGGGAAGGCGTGGGGTCTGGTTTAAATGCAGACTCGGATTGAGTATCGCTGGGGTGGGACTCGCGAGCTTCCAGGAGACTCTGCTGATACAGTTAGCAGGGCCCCAGGGCGCCTCTCACTCATGGGCACCAGGAGGCGTGTTCCACTGTGACGGGGTGTGTTGCATCAACAAGTGTCCATCAGGAAAGCCTTGGCCAAATGAATCAATGGTGCGCCATCCCGGCCGAGGATGCTCTGGAGCAATTAAAAAGAGGGGGGGAGAGCCATCGGGGTCTTGTCTTCCATGAGGATGGAGCACCCTCTGAGGGCTGGGGCTTTCTCTGTGTCCTTACTGATGTGGGCCCATGCTAGGACAGGGTCTGGCACACAGTAGGTGCTCAGGCTACATTTAGGAATGACGGAACGAATACGCTGATGTGGAAAGATCTCCAGGACCTGGTGGGGAGGACGCCACGCAGGTCCCAGAGGGACACGTGCAGTCCAGGCCTTCTCAGCCTGGGCATCACTGGCATTGGTCCAGATGATTGTTTGTGGTGGGGGCTGGTCTGAGCCTTGTAGGGCGCTTAGCAGCATCCCTGGCCTCTACCCGCCAGATGACCCTAGTCGTGACAACCAAACCTGTCTCCACACGTTGCTGGTTGTCCCCTGAGGGCCAGTCGGCCCCAGTTGAGAACCACAGTGTGATCTGATGGCATGTGGCAGGGAGGAGGGAAGGATGAGTGGAAAGATGGAGGGATGGGTGTTTGGGAGGGGAGGGAGAGAGGTCCTGTTTGGCTATAACCTCATAGAAAGCAGGTGTGGGGGGCTCCTCCCCACACTGATCAACTTGGTTACTTCTTAAGAAAGAGAGAAAAGGGCAGGATTGGGGATTTTCCTCCAAAGAGACCTAAGCCTTCTCTATTTTTTTTTTTAAATATGCAGATTATACCTGTGACTTGAGTAATTAAGTAACATTTGAAAATAGGAATGGTACAAGGAGTGCTTCTAGAGTTGTGAGGATTTAATGCAAGCCCTTGGCACCGTGCCTGGCTCATAGTGGGAGCGCAGCCAAAGGAAACCGTTGTTGTCTTATTGTGTTGCACCCCTCCGGCAGCCCCTCGGTGTATGGAAGCAGTTCAGACCCTCTTTGCATGTGGGCAAACTGGAGCTCAGAGACGGGAAGGGACTTTCCCAAGGGCACACAGCAAAGTAGGAGGAAACCAGTCTGCATGGCTCCGAAGTAGAGGCCGTTTCTCCTCCGCCACCCTGCGGCCCCCGCCAGGCATCTGGGCCTCCTGCTCATCACACCTGTGGACTGAGGCCGTGTGGGCTGCTTCAAGTCCCCCAGCTTGTTGATCGCCTGAACTTTACCAGCCCAGGTGGCACCCCCAGGAAGCCGACAGGCTGGAAATGGCAGGAGTGTAGCCTGTGGGAGTTGTGCTGTGTTTCTGCCTGGCAGCACTAGGAGGACTGCCAAGGATGTGGAGCCGGTGATGGAGGACGTGGCAGAGACAGTCCCTGTAGGTGGGCACTGGCCTCCAGCCTTGTGCAGCTTCAGAATCATACTGCTCCTCTCCTGCTCAAACACCTGCAATGGCTCCCCAGTACCCAAGTCTAAATTTCCTTCCTCTGCTTGCCAGGTTAGCATTCCATGTCCTACAGAGGATTCTCCATAACATAACTAGATTCTGCATAGTAATAAGAGTAATAATAATAATAATAGGACCTGAAGCACCTACTGTTTGCCCAGCATGGTACTAAGTGCTTTACATACATTATCTTATTCAACCCTTACAAAAGCCCTATGGCACTGCTACAGGTCTGATGCCCACAGGAGTTGTGTCTTGCCCAAGGTCACACAGCTTGTGGCCCTGCCAGGATCTGCAGCCTGACTCCAGAGCCAGACTTGTAACCAAGAGGCCAGCCTTCCTAATCTTGTTGGGAGAATGAACACCAGTACGATGCCAGCAGAGAGGAGCCCAGCTCTGGGTGTCTGGAAAGCCGGGCCTAGGCCTGGCTGCTCTATGACCTTGCCGTGTGACCGTGGCCAGACTCTCCAGTCTGGGCTTGCGCCAGGCTTTCTCCAAGGCTGGCTGTGTATTCCGGACTCAAGGTCTCAAAGTTTTGCAGCATATCTAGAAATCGCCCCAATTTCATTTCTCCATTTGTTTATTTTGCATCACACCGTTGATAGATGCCCACTGTAGAACAGTTATAAAATTCAGGGAGAGAAAGAGGAAAAATAAGTGAAACTCCAGTTAGCATTTTAGGGTGTATCTTTCTGGAATATTCCTCCAACATAAATATTTACCAGAACGGGCTCACTTAACATCTTTTTATCACCTAACATCTTATCCCAGATGTCTTGCCAGGGAATGAATCGTTTTTTATGGTCGTATCCAGGTCTGTTATGGTTATGCCATGAATATTTAATTAGAGTATCTAATTAGAGATGATGATAAATTAATAGCTGGCATTGTCTGAAATCCCCTCCTGCCAGGTCCTGCCCTGAGCACTCGCCTCAGCAGTCATTAGCGCAGCCTTCTGAGGCAGGCAGTTCAGCCCCATTTTACAGATGAGGAAACCGAGGCTGTTGAAGTTAACCGGCCCCAGGTCTCACAGCCCATCCTTGGCCAAGCGAGACGTGGCCCCAGCCCCTCTGAGCCCTCCACCTGTGCCCTTAACCATTGGACCACCCTGCCGTGTGCCTCACCTCCCATGTTCCCATGATGCCCTGTTTTTTGAGGCGGGCAACCAGGCTGGGTGCTCGCCAAGCGAGGAAGGAAGACCAATTAGGTAGTCTTCGGTAGGTGGAGAGGCAGCCTTGGCCAAAGAAAGGGTGTGTCCTGCTGGGAGCAGCTCTTCCTCCCGCAGGAGAGGCACCTGCCCGCCGGAGTTGGCCAGAGCTCCCTGGGGCGAAACACAGCCTGGCTCAGCTGGATGGTTTCCCCAAACCTCGAGAGAGTGGGTGGCTGAGGCCCCTCCCTGTGGATTCTGGGGGACGCTGAATACAGTGGCTTCTGTTCCTTACGAGTTTCCAGGGTGCTGGGCTGCCTGCTGTGGCCGCCCTGAGCTGTCGAGCCCTCTCAACAGCCTCAGAAGTGGGTTCCATGTTCAGGTGAGGACACTGAGGTATGGAGAGGTCAAGAGCCTCGTCCGAGGTCCCCTCGTCAGCATCTGTCCTGGAGAGTTCGGAGTGTCGGGGCATCCTGGACCACCTGATGGGGCTGAGCCCGAGTCAGGGGCTCCTCTAAGCACTCTGGGTGTATTGTCTGTTCCCTCTCAGTAGCCCGAGGAGGTGGGAGTCGCGGAGAGGGCAGAGGCACGTCCTGGTTGCCGGGCGCTTTGGCAGTGCAGCTAGGATTGGAACCCGCTTCTGCTTGTCCTGAGCCCGGAACATGCCGCTCTGCCCTGCCTTTCCTGGCTGGCCGCCCCTCCCTTCCCCCAAGGGCCACTGACGTGGTGACTCTACTTTAGGGGGAAGGGATGTGCAGTTTGGATACAGACACAGCTGCGGCGTGCCCACCACTGCTCAGGACAGCCCGGGGAAGGCTGGGGGTTCCCAGAGGTGCGCTCTTGTACCCCCCTGGGGAGCTGTTCACGTGTGTCCCGCTCTCTTAAACCCATAGGGTCCCATTGTGGGGTTGGAATGGAGGAGGCTGGCACTTAAGACTGATGAAGCCAGCTCGATTTCTCAGATCCGGTGTTTCAGAGTCAGACCTCAGTTTGACTCCTGGCCTGGCCCCTACCAGCTGTGTAGCCCCGGACAAGGTACTTCACTTCCCTGAGCCTCTGATTCCTCCTCTGTGAAATGGGACATCATTGTGCCTTTCTTTCAGGGCGGCTGGGGGCATCAGATGGTGCCGTGCTTGCTACACCCCTAGCTCCGTGCCGGCTGAGAGTGAGCGTGCATCTACGTACAGAAGTGACAGTTCACCGAGGACTGTCCTTGTCTCCTCTCTACAGCCCTGTTAGAAGGGCTCCCCGTGCGCCCCATTTAACAGATGAGGAAACCAGGGCTCAGAGAGGCTGAGTGTCTTGTCCGGAGCTGCACAGCCAGGGAGCGGCAGAGGTGAACCCGACTCCCTGACCCCCTGACTCCCGTCCCGTGCCTGTCTCCCAGCCTTGTCGCTTGCCTCAGGGGGTGTGCCGTGACTGACTGAGGAAAAGGCATGAAGTGGCTGCAAGTTGAGTTCAGTGTGTGGCGAGGTGACATGTGATGTATACAGCTGGAGCTCAATAAATGCTCGTGTCAAAGCAGAAGTCACAGTAGAATTGCTCAGGGCGAGGCGAGGCAGAGTGGTTCCAGAAGGAGCAGGACTTTGTGGGGAACCCGCTTCCCCCCGTGTGCATTTCCTCGAGAGGCCCCCAGCGGCTCCTACTCCCCAGGCTGGGGCATTTCTGGGGGTCTTGAGCTCCCTGGCTCCTGGGCGTGGTGCGAACAGAACCGTGCCGTCAATTTTGGGCTTTGCAGAAACCCAGGTTAGGTCTGGAGGAGCCCCAGGCAGCTGGGCTGAGATTAAGCAGCCAGGCACTCGCCTGGGTGTAAAATTTAAAGGATTCCCAGAAAGTTCAGTAATCAAGATAAATAACATTTTAATGCAAATTAAAAAAAAATCAGAACCGATGGATGGATCTTGACCACATTATGTAAGTGGAAGAAGCGAGTCACTGAAGACCGTGTACTGTGTGATTCCGTTTACATGAAATATTCAGAAGAGGCAGATCCATAGAGACAGAAGGTAGATTAGTGGTTGCCAGGGGCTGGGGGAGGAGGGGATGGGGGGCAATAGCTAACGGTCGCGGTTTCTTTTTGGGGTGATGAAAATGTCCTAAAATTGATTGTGGTGATGGTTGCATACCTCTGCATACACAAAAACTGTAGAATTGTACGCTTTCAATAGGTGAGTTGTGTGGTACGTGAATAAAGCTGTTATCAAAGTAATCTAAATCAATGCAAGAATATCCAGGATGAACAATATGTCAAAATTTATAAATAAAGACGGGATCATATTCCTGATATTTTCCTTCTGCCTCAGGCTCCAGTACGGCTTGGCACAGCCTCATTATTTATCCTATTTAAAAATTTAATAGTTTTTTGGCATTCATTTAAAAATACTGCACTAAAACATTGTTGATCTTGACTCCTGAGTTTTGGGGCGCCCCCTTACATTTTGTGTTCGAGAATGGTGGCTCACCCTCGGCCGGCCCTGCCAGGCAAGCCTCTTTCTCTCCGGGGTGGCCAAGCCACTCTCTCCCTCCCTTGTGTGTGGCGTTTCTGCCTCTCCTGTGTCTGTTGCTCGGCCACTCCTTACGGGCAGGGCTGTGTCTCCTAAGAAATAACAGTACATCCTGGTAGCTACTGTCACTGAGCTCACCTCTATGCCAGCCCGGCCGGGCAGCTGCTGTTTGCACCCTTAATCTGGGGATGAGGCGAGCGAGGCCCAGAAGGGAGAAGTCGCTGGCTCAAGTCACACAGCTGGCGAGGGGCCAAGCCCAGATCGCACCGGGGCCCGTCCAACTTCGGGGCGTGCACTCCGGACCCCACACTCTGTGGCTGTTGCGTTCCCCGTGCCTGGCCTGGGTGGGCGCCCAGGACACAGTCCTCGAATGCGGGATTCAGTGCCCTCAGCGGTATTTCACAGAGCTGGGGCAGGGGCGGCTCGTGGTAAAATGCGGGGCCCTAGGCCCCGTCACGTAACTTCCAAATGAGAATATTTGGGGGTAGGAGCTGGGGACCTGTCTTTTAACAGTTTCTGGCAATGTTACTGCACGTGGAAGTTTGAGAACCCCCTAAAGGGAAGTAATAACCGTGATAGAGTAACAAAGCCCTGTCCTGAGTGGTTTCTATCAGTTCGTTTGTTAAGTCTCGCAACTGCTGTCAGCATCCCCATTTCTCAGATGAAGAAACTGAGGCCCAGAGAAGTCAGGTGACACCTCCCCTCCCCCCCTTCCCCAGGGCTGCATTGCTAGTAATCACCAGAACCAGGACTCAAAGTCAGGTGTGTGGACTCCGACTCCAGTGCTCATCCCCCACCTCTGGCAGCTTGTCAGCGGGTCGTGTGTGTGTGTGTGTGGCAAGTGCAGGAAGCCCCAGTCCCACAAGGTCACCCTGGTCTTTTCCTGTTTGCGTTGTTTACCAGGCACAGGCCTTGTGTGTTCCCGAAAAGGAAGCCCAGAGCAGGGGCCGTGCCAGGCGCTGGGGGCAAGGCTGGGGGATGGGGGCCAGGAGTCCAAGCTGGTCACTGCTCTGAGCACCTGCACGACCTGGGACAGATGGCTTCCCCCATCTGTGTACTTGGCAGGGTAGGGATTTAGGCTCTGGTTCTGGTATCAGGCAGACCTGGGTTCCAGTTCACACTCAGCTGGTTACTATCAGCTGTGTGACCTCTGGCTAAACACTTGACCTCTCTGAGCCTCAGATTCCCCCTCTGTGAAATGGGGTAATAATAGTGCCTACCCCCCAGGGTTGTGGTTAGAGGCAAAATGCATATAACAGTGCCAGGCACCCATGTCTCTCTAAGTCTTTACTTGGCGCCAGACCAGATGTCGGATGATTCCATGTGCATGCACGTGCCTCTTTTTAAAAAAAATCAACTGTTTGTTTTCCCGAGTTGTATGTTTTCTCTCGCCCACCAAAGGCTGGTGGCCTGGGTCCTCCCACTGGCCCTTGTGAGACGGGGCCCAGAACCTGAATATACACCGGCTTCTACCGCGGCTCACTGCCTTTGCATTTCGAGGGTTTGTCCAAGTTCCCCGGGGTCGTGTGCTGCCAAGATCGTCTTCTCGTCATCCAGACCAGGGCGCTGACAAACCAGGGCCCGCGGGACGAATGTAGCTCGCCGCCTGACTTTGTAAATAGTCTGTATTGGAACACAGCCACACGCATGTATCGACGCGTTGTTTTCTATGGCTGCTCTCCTGCCACAAAAGCAGAGCGGAGTAGCTATGCCAGAGACCATCTGACCCACAGCGTCCGAATCGTTGGCCTTCTGGCCCTTTACAGAAGAAGTTTGCCGACCCCACCTCACCAGGCCCCTCGTTTCTTAGCTTGTGTGTCCTTCCAGGCTTCGTGCCTTTGCTGTGACAACAGTGATCATGATATTAAATGCTAGCAGTTTTGCATGTTGGCTCCGGGCTGGGCTTGATGGACGTTATGTGGTTCCTCACAACTCTCTCTGCTCCGGGGTTATTCCCATTTCTCAGATGAGAACGCTGAGGCTCCGAGAGCCGCTCCAGATTGAGCCAGGACACCCAGCCTCTGAGTGGGGGAGCTGGGATGTGACCTCCAGGCTCATCACCTCCCACTCCAGCTTGTGCCTAACAGAGTGCTGAACTGGGCCTCCGAGGGGAGCCGGGACAGTGGGAGCAGGGGGGCTGCTTTATCATTTTAGGTAGAAATTGCAAAGCAAGTCAGGAGAGTGAAATCATGGATCTAGAAGCAGGGGCTATAGAGAGAGAGGGAGACAGGTTTTCCTCCTGGCTCTCCTGCTTAGCAGCTGTGTGGCCTTAGGCAGGTGACCCCACCTCTCTGAGCCCCACTGAATGGATGGTTAATAAAGGAGGGTCACATGGGGTAACAGGGGTGGGAACAAAATTCGACGGTGTATGTAAACCCCTTAGCTCAGGACCTGGCATACAGTAAGCGCTCAATAAGGATGAGCTAATCTTGTTAAGGCAGCACCCTGCCTCCTCTTCCTCCCTCTTGTTAAGTTGAAGCAGTGTCCATAGCCTCGGAATTATCATTTTTCTTATTATTTTCTTCTTCTCACCCCGTTGGAATCTGGCAGGCTTTTCTTGACTGGCTTCCCTCCAGGGTGGGTCAGAGGTCTCTGATCCCCAGGGCCCCTGCCCCAGAGAGCTTCGGGCTTCCCCTATCTGCACGAGAGGGTCGGGGCTTGGAGTGGCGAGGTCAGCGGGGCCCAGCGGGGGTCGGGGGAGTGGTAGCCATGGTGATGGAATGTTTGGGAGCTGGTTCCCACGGGAGGGCTCGCAGGGCTGATGGCCGAGCTCAGGCACGTGGGCACCGGGCACCCCTCCAAGGCCGCCCTGAGCTGCAGTGACAGCCTCCTGCACTGGCGTCGCGTGCTCCAGCCCCGTCCCCTGTCTTGGGAACCTCTGGATCTGCTGAGCTTGGGGAAATCATGCTGAGTTAGAAAGTTGAAACGAGTTGAACCCCCAGGGCACGTGGGCCTTTCCTTCCTTCCTTCCAGCCTTTATCACAGGAGAAATGATCTCACACGCCGGTTTCCTGGCTCCCCGCTAGAATGTCAACTCCATGAGGGCCGGGGCCTTTGCTGTCCTGGAGTGTCCTGGCATCTTGGTCAGTGCCTGGTACTTGGTGCTCAGTCAACATTTGTGCAATGAATGCATCCCCATCCTTCCAGTGGTCATTCAGGGCAGCCCATGGGGCCTTAAAGAGAGGGCAAAGTCCCCTCCCATCCTCTCCTGCTGCCCCCGTTTTATGAGCCGCCAGACACGATGTCTTGGGGACAGAGCCAGATTTGGACACCGGCTTTTGCTCTGACTAGTCGTGGGCCTTTTGTGAATGGCTTCCCCTCTCAGAGCTTCAATCTTCTCACCTATCAAATGAAGATAAAAACCCCCCGGGCCGGCCCCGTGGCTTAGCGGTTGAGTGTGCGCGCTCCGCTACTGGCGGCCCGGGTTCGGATCCCGGGCGCGCACCGATGTACCGCTTGTCCGGCCATGCTGAGGCCGCGTCCCACATACAGCAACTAGAAGGATGTGCAGCTATGACATACAACTATCTACTGGGGTTTTGGGGCAACAAAAGGAGGAGGATTGGCAATAGCTGTTAGCTCAGAGCCAGTCTTCCTCAGCAAAAAGAGGAGGATTGGCACGGATGTTAGCTCAGAGCTGATCCTCCTCACAAAAAAAAAAGACTGCGTGTCATTAAAAAAAAAAAAAAAAATCCCCACCTTGAAAGGTTCTGCTGGGGATGAAATTAGAAAATGAAAGCCAAAATGTAAATAGCACTCCCCCGGTGCCAGGCGGTGTTCTAGCATGTTCTGACTTATTTACACGTCCCAACACTCCTCTGGGGCTCGTTCCTCGTTTGCACCAGCCACATTTCATGTGAGCCTCGTGTGAGGTATTGTTATCAGCCCCATTTTACAGATGAGGAGAGGAAACTGAGGCTCAGCGAGGTTGAGTGACTTGCCAAGGGCCCACAGCTGGTAGCTGGGGGAGCCGAGATTTGAGCCCAAGCTGTCTAGCCCCTACTAGGCCTGGCTTAGAACTCAAAACTACTAGTCGGTCGTTTTATTGTTTTATTGTGTAGAAAGACAATGTAACAACACCATGAGAGTACATTTTTAGGAGAAAAATATGGTCACCTAACACCCGAACAAAATCCCTGGGGGCGTTTTGAGCCTATTTCCTTCTTGTTTTTCTCTCACCTGTGGTTTGTGTGTGCTGGTTGGTTCGGTGGATTTGGCAGTTTTCTTTTTGGCATAGTTGTGTGCACCTGGCACCCACGTGGGCCTTTGTCGTCCACAAATTGGAGGACCAGGCTGCTGCCGCCGCACCCCACCATTGGGCTGTTGGGAGGATACAGGAGGTAGGGCGTGGAAAGCCTTGGGCTGATGTTAAATATACAGTGGCGGGCCGGCCCCGTGGCTTGGTGGTTAGGTGCGTGCGCTCCGATGCTGGTGGCCCGGGTTCGGATCCTGGGCGCGCACCGAGGCACCGCTTCTCCGTCCATCCTGGGGCCGAGTCCCACATACAGCAACTGGAAGGATGTGCAGCTGTGACATACGGCTATCTACTGGGGCTTTGGGGGGAAAAAATAAAAATAAAAAAATGATAAAATCTATAAATATACAGTGGCGCTTAATACATGCTGCTGTTCCTCCTACAAGAAAAGGAGGGCTCCCTGACCCCTCCCCATGCCTCTCATTTGTCTCTAAATTGGTGCTGTCCGATAGGACTTTGTGCGAATGATGGGAATGTTCTAGAACAGGAGTCGGCCACTTTTTCTATAAATGTCCAGAGAGTAAATATTTCAGATTTTGTGGGGCCTGTAGAGTTTTTGTTGTTGCTGCTCCTCTCCCTTCTCGTTCCCTTAAAAAAATGTAAAAGCCACTCTTAGCTCAAAGGCCAAGGGTTGGATTTGGCCTGAGGGCCACAGTTTGCCGACCCCATCCTAGATCTGTGCTGTCCAGTATGGTGGGCACTGGCCACCGTGTGGCTACCGGGCACTTGAAACGTGGCCACTGCAAACAAGGAGCTGAATTTTACATTTCATTTAATTTCACTTCATGTAAATGTACCTAGCTGTGGGTGGTGCCCCGCGTTGGACACACAGCTCTCAGGGACTGAGGGCCCCGCCGTGGAAGCTGCCTGGCTGGCAGGCCTCTCGAGCTCTCTGGCATTTCAAGGGCCGCCGGAGGGCAGCTGGGCCCGAGCCACCTCGCCTCCATGAGAGCTTCAAGTGCCCCGTCCCTAAGTGTTTGTATTTGTTCCAAGAGGCAGGCCTCCGTGCTTGGCCAGCTGTGCCCCGGGAGGGCCAGGCCTGTGTGCTCTGTAGCTTGGGGACAGGGCGGGGCGCTGGTTGCTGTGGTTACACCTGAGTACCTTTCTCCATCTGGGTTGAGATGTATTAATCAGGCTGGTATTTCAGGGATAGAAAAAAAACCATAGAAGTGAGGAGTGAGCGACCAGGAAGGGAGGGAGGACAAAGTAATGCAGTAATAGCTTCTACCCAGTTTATTTCCATTATGATGCAAATAAAACAATAGCTGAGACTTTTGAGTGCTTGCTCTTATCTTGTTCAGACCTCCCAACAGCCCATTTTCCAGAACAGGAAAACTGAGGCTCAGGGGAGTGACGATCTCTGTCGTCAGGGAGGCGTCCAACTGCAGAGCTGCGTTCTTACCCACCCCCACCTGGAGTGGGACCGAGAGGAGGGAGGTTTTGAGCCTCAGACACAGTAGGTGAGTCTGCGAGGTGATTTCCCCTCGTGGGCCTCAATTGTCCCATCTGTAAAATGGGGGAAGGTAAGCAGTGGACGAAAAACCCTCCCTACCCTAAAAGGTAAGGACACAGCAGTGAGGTGTCCACCAGGATCCCCTTGGTTCCACGTTGGCCAGGTCCTGGCTTCATGCCAGACCCCGTCGTGTTGGTGGCCTCATTCCTTTAATGCAGTGGCTAAGAGCTAGGCGTCAGTGTCTCACAGATCTGGATGGAGTTCCTGGTGCTGGCAGCTCCCCTCTTGGTGTCGTCTTCTCATCTATAAAATTGGGATCATCATACTTTCCTCTTAGGGGGCTTAAGTGACACAAGGACTCACACAGTGGGCATTTGGTCAGTGTTAGGTGGTGGCAGGACACTGTCTGACTCCGGGGGTGCCATATTTATTGTAGGCTAACTACATGGTGCCCGTTGGAGTTGGGCCGTGCACAGCCTGTTCAACCCTACCCAGCAGTCCCAGATGGTGATTAGTGGAATAGTAGTGGTGGTTGTTGCTTATTGTTATATTTACTTTTCCTGAAGTCCAAGGTCCCTGGGCCAAGAGGAAGGGAAAAGCCTGGTTGGCAAAGACCAAGGGGCTCCCTAAGGCTGCAGGGCCTTAGCTCAGATTCTCAGCTCACACCTCTCTGCCTGAGAAGGGAGCAGTTCATTCCCTGTAGGACCAGGCGAGTTCAGACCCCAGCTGTGACATCTTGGGCTGAGGTGGCCTCTCCCTGCACTACAGCTCATCTTCCAGAGAACTTCCCCCCCAAATCACTGTCGGGTGCCCCTGGGGAGCCTGACATCCCCTCTGAGGTGGCCCAGCCCCTCTCTGCGGCACCCACCCCTAATGCAGCATCTCGTCTGCTTTGCAGGGGTCAGCCGGTGGACGGCCTTGGCGAGTGGCCACGAGGGCTGGAGCCCAGGGATGCGAGTGCCCGGGGGAGGTAAGTGCATCCGAAGGCCCCCCTGACTCCCGAGGCACAGCCATCCCACACCCCCAGCCTCCGTTATTGGGTGGCCGAGCAGACTCCCCTGGCTGGCTCAGATCCGGTGCTAGAATGAGCTGGATCGCAGCAGCATGGAGAGGGCAGGCCTCTGCTTCTCTTTGTCTTGGGAAGATGATTCTCCTGGCGATGGGACAGAGAAGGCTGAGTTCCGGAGCGGGCAGGTCTTACCCAGCGTCCCTGAGCAGATTCCAGGCACAGCCAGAATCCAAACCCTCTTGCATTCCACGTTACCCCTGCTGGCAGTTTTGGAGTGCTTGCTCAGTGCTTCACATACAAGTTCCCCAAACCTCATAATAGCTCCCTGAGAAAAGTTATTATTATCCCGTTTTTTTGGAGGAGAAAATAGAAGCTCAGAGAGGTGAAGTTCCTTGTCTAGGTCCAGCTGGCAAGTGGCAGAGGCGGGATTTGAACCTGGGGCTGTAGGATACTGAGTCTGAGGCTCTTATCCATCATCCTCACTGCCAGGATGCTGGGACACCTCCTCTGTCAGGGTCCAGGGGGGTGTGGGGGTGGAGGGCAGGCCCAGGTCCCTCTGGCCCCTCCTGGAGTGGGTTCCCTGGCTCTGGGTGGCCAGGAAGCCACCTCTGCTTTGTGGGTTCCCAGCTGCTTTCCCTCTGCCAAGTCGCCCTGATTTTTCTTTTCAAGCCATCCTCCAGGTCTTTGCTGTCTGCTGCTCACGTCTGACCTGCCCGCTTTGAGCTGCTTTCTTCTGGGGGCAGAGATGGGGCTCTCGCTGGGGCCTGTCCGAGGACAATGAACAGCCCGGCCTCAGCCTGGTCTGATCCAGGCCTGCCACTCTGGCCGTGCGACCTTGGGCAGGTTGCCTCTTCTCTCTGAGCTGCTGGAGGCGAGGCATCCCTACCCCAGAGGTCGTGGAGAGGATCCTGTTAGATGCCGCGTGGAAAATACTTGAGCAGAACCAGCACTCGATAAATGTAAAAGCAGAAACCTCAACTGCTTTGTTTGAAAGTGCTGTAGCCAAATGACTGATCAGTGTCAAGCAAAGCTGGTGAGCTGATAACATTTGTCTTATTCTGCTGATCCCTTCTTCCAGGCCTTTCCCCCTGGTATTTAGTATCCAAATCCCTTCCAACCCCAAACATGAGTTCGAGAGTACGCACATGTAGTGGCATGCACATTTTGCCTATCCTTTCTGGAAACAACTTTCCCAGATTATCCCCTTTCCTCCATTTCTCTGCGTCCCTCATCACCATCTGGCCCCCAAAAGCTCCAGTCTCTTGCTCCCCACTAAGTGTCAGGAAGAAAGGGTGAGTGCACTAATTTAAGCTAAAGTGTGATTGACAGTCTGCCAGGGCATTGACCCTGAGATAATAATATCCTGCAGAATTCTGGTCTCCGGTCTAAGGGGAGAGTTTCAGTGAGCACTTGAAGAAGATGAGGGGTCCTTGGAGGGATTTCTGAGTGATTTTCTGTCCAGCCTGCCTCCCTGCTGAAAGTAGCCCTGGAATTAGACTTCACCATCCCAGACCCTGAATTCAGGGCACCTCTGAACCCCCAGCATAGTCAGGAACATTTGATAGGTACAAGTTTCTGGGCTATTTTCCAGTGCTCAGAGAGGCCAGTGACCCCAGGGTGAGACTCCTCTTTGCTTGTCAGGTGCTTCTAGAACCCGCACAGCAGCCTTTGTGGTCAGTGGACCCGCCCTCTCTGCAGCTGAGGAAACTGTGGCTTAGCTGGAGGAAGTGACTCTCCCAAAGCCACATGGCCAGGAAATGCCAGGGCCTCTCAGCGGCTTTGACCCCAGCCCCCGGACTGTATGTTCCCTCGGCTTTGATGTGTATTTTCCACTTGCTGCGGCCAGGGGAGCCTCAGGCAGCCCAGGGCCAGGTGGGTGGGTTGGCCCAGCTGCAAACCGGGTCCTTTGGTGTTTTCGGCTGGACCTCATGTCGAAGAGAAATCATCTCCGCACTCCCTTCTCTCCAGACCTGGCACCATTCACTAAGCCACGTGCAGCCCCCCAGTCCTGCTGGGTCCTTTCCTGCCTGTGCCTTTCCACTGGCTGTTCCCTGGGCCAGGAACACCCTTCTCTCTCTTCTCCACCTGGCTGTTTAAAACTCCACATGTCCACTATTCAGAACTCAGCATGAGGGCTGCCTCCTACAGGCAGCCTTCCTCACCTACTCGGGCAGAACCCATCACTCCTTCCCAGGTGTGGGTCCACAGTGTGAGTAGACTTGGGGGGCTGAGGCTGTGTCTCTTAGCTCCATAGCCCAACTCCTGGCACGCAGTAGGTATGTTGGAATAAATGAATAACCGATGATTGTGGTCAACACCACTAAAATTCTTTCTAATGTGCCCTGTGTGCCGGGTGTGTTCTGAAGTTCTTAAGCAGGTCTTTTAATGTTCATGGTGTCCCTTTGAGCTTGATATTCTTAAACCCATTTTACAGATGAGGCTCAGAGAAGTGAAGTCTGTTGCCTAAGCTCACACAGCCCACAGGAAGTGGCAGAGCTGGGATTCGAACTCAGTCTGCCTGACTCCTGAATGCCCAGAGATTTCAGTCCCTCACTTTGATTCTGGAAAGAGGTGGGAGGGGACGCGAAGGCTCAGAAACACAGCAGGGACGAGGCAGAGAAGGGCCGGGGTGGTCGGAGGCTGGCTGAGTGTCGGCCCAGCATCTGAATCTACACCTTCTGTATTGGGCCCTGGTTGCAAAATTGAGGTGCCCTGAGGGTAAACTGGGGAGGAGGGCACATGTGTCATTTGAGGTGACCGGAGAAGGGGGTGGCTTGGCTGGGTGGGCCCTCCCTGAAGAATTGCCATTGAAGTCTGATCATCTTTATTAGCAATGCCGGGGGGGGGGGGGGGCGGTGAGGAGTGTGGGCTCAGGGTCATAATTCATGTCCTAAGTCATCCTGCTTGGCAGCTGCCCCTCCCACCTCACACTGTCTTTCCCCTCCCTCCCCTCCCACCCCAGCAGCCTCCTCGTAGGTTCTTGAACATCCACACCCTCTCCCATCTCGAAGTCTTTGCGCTTTCTGTTCCCTCTGCCTGGAGCACCCTTTCCACACACCTTCACAAATCCAAGTCTTGGCTTAGATGTCACCTCCTCCAAGAGGCCCTCCGACCTCCACCCTCTGTCCTTTACTTGGTCCCCCTCACGGTGTCTGGTTCATTCCTTTGCAAGCCATTATCACCATCTGGCCCTAGTTGTGTACCGTCCGCTTCCCTCGCTGGGACATAAGCTCCTTGAGGCCAGAGGCCTGGCTGTCTCGTCCACTCTCCTGTCCCTAGCCCTGAGCATGTGCCTGGCACCTTTTACTGTTTCATAAGCACTTACTGAATGAAGACTGAATGAATGGCTGGGGATTCTGGAAAAACCCCAGACCAGGATGTTCTGTGCCTTCTCCTGAAGAGCCTCTCCTGCAGAGGCAGACTGTGGTTGTCCACAGCAGACGCCAGAGCCGGCTGGCCCAGGTCCAAATCTCGGACCCTGGCCTGGCTGCTTCCCAGCTGGACGATTGTGAGCCACCTCTCCGTGCCTCCGTCTCCTCCTCTCTCTACAGTGATCATTTCCTAGCACCTGCTCTGTGCCAGCCTGCTCATTCAACCAGGGCACATTCCGGAAATTTTCTCGAGCACCTAGAGGCGCCAGCACTGTGCTAGGAGCCAGGGAAACAGCTGAGAACAAACCAGGCCAAAACTCTGTCCTTGCGAAACATGTGCTGCTGAAATCTGATGCTCCGGTGTATTACTGTTTTCCATACTTGGATAGTCAACTTTAAAATTATTATTCCTCCACTTATCAGATGAGGAAACTGAGGCACTGAGTGGTTCAGGAACTGAGTGCGTCCCACAGCTAGGAAGTGGCGAGAAGGGATTTGAACCCAGGCCGTGGGGCTCCCATGTCCCTTGATGACAGCCCTTCCCCTGGGGTTGCTGGAGGATGTCGAGTTAAGATAGATGAAGGGTGCAGCTCGGTGCCAAGAACACAGCAGTGCTCCTGACACCTGCCCTGCTGTGAATTTCAGCGTCCTCCCGTCTGCTGTCATTGGGGTCTGTACGGTCAAGGCCTCCCTGACTGCGTGTGTCCCCCTCTCTCTCCCCAGATGTGAGCCCCGCGGGCCTCCCGCTGACCTGTCGCTGAAGCAGGCCCGCTACCCCAGGCCCAGCATGCGCCTGTCTGTGCGCAGGGCGCTGCTGGCGGCGGGCTTCACGCTGGCCCTGGTGCTGGCGGTCCAGCTGGGGCAGCGGGTGCTGGAGTGCCGCGCGGTGCTGGAGGGCCCGCGGAGCCCGCGGCGGGCCATGCGGCCGGAGCAGGAGGACCTGGTGGTGGTGGGCACGGACCACGTGGAGTACCGCTATGGCAAGGCCATGCCGCTCATCTTCGTGGGCGGCGTGCCCCGCAGCGGCACCACGCTCATGCGCGCCATGCTGGACGCCCACCCCGAGGTGCGCTGCGGCGAGGAGACGCGCATCATCCCCCGCGTGCTGGCCATGCGCCAGGCCTGGTCCAAGTCGGGCCGCGAGAAGCTGCGGCTGGACGAGGCGGGCGTGACGGACGAGGTGCTGGACGCCGCCATGCAGGCCTTCATCCTGGAGGTGATCGCCAAGCACGGCGAGCCGGCCCGCGTGCTGTGCAACAAGGACCCCTTCACGCTCAAGTCCTCGGTCTACCTGTCGCGCCTGTTCCCCAACTCCAAGTTCCTGCTGATGGTGCGCGACGGCCGCGCCTCCGTGCACTCCATGATCACGCGCAAGGTCACCATCGCCGGCTTCGACCTCAGCAGCTACCGCGACTGCCTCACCAAGTGGAACAAGGCCATCGAGGTGATGTACGCGCAGTGCATGGAGGTGGGCAGGGACAAGTGCCTGCCCGTCTACTACGAGCAGCTCGTGCTGCACCCCCGGCGCTCCCTCAAGCTCATCCTCGACTTCCTCGGCATCGCTTGGAGCGACGCCGTCCTGCACCACGAGGACCTCATTGGCAAGCCCGGAGGCGTCTCCCTGTCCAAGTGAGTGGAGCCCCCTCTGCTCCGCCCACACCCCTCCTCCTGGAGTCAGAGGCACTAGGCGGGGAGATCGGTTCTGCCTCTCCGAGCTGTGTGGCCTTGGGCAGGTCACTGTGCCTCTCTGAGCCTCCGCTGCCTCTGTTGTAATGGAAGAGATCTGGGAAGGGGTGGTTGGGAGCAGGGCCTTGAACTAGCTGTCCCACCTCCTAACTGTGTGGCATTGACAAGTCGCTGTACCTCTCTGAACCTCAGCTCCATTTTCCAAAAAGTGGGGCAATCACTCCTCTCTTTTCTGAGAGAATCAGCAAACTTCGAGGATGCTTTGTAGTAAGGGTGTAGTGGATAGAGGTTAAGGATACAGATTTTGGAACCAGGCTGTCTGGGTTCAAATCCCAGCTCTGCCGCTTCCCAGCTGTGTGACCTTGAGCAAGTGATTCAGCTTCTCTGTGCCTCCGTTTCCTCCTCTATAACATGGGGATCTAATCTGTCTACCTTGTAGAGCCCTGTGAGCATCAGATAGGGTGATACACATAGGGGCTACTATGACTGTTATTATTGTTATCATTTTATTGTTGCTGTTGCTTGTATTGGAATACCCATCATCCTCACCGTCGTTACCATTTACTGAGTGCCTGCTGTGTGGCAAGCACTTAAATATTATTCCTTTAGTCTCCAGAGCAACCTGAGGACATAACAATGCTCTTATCCCCATTTTACAGATGAATAAACTGAATCTCAGAGAGGAGAAGTTACTGGCCTAAGGCCACCCAGCTAGCAAAGTGTGGTGTCAGGATTGGAATCCAGGTCTGGTGGGCTCCAGAGCCTGTGGTCTTAAGCTCTCCACATCCAGGACCCCTCCTCTGTCCCTCTCTTTGTCCCTTGCTCTCTGCCTTCCTCCTTTGGGGAGGCCGCCCCTCTGCCGAGACCCAGGGCACTCTCCGGCACTGTAGGATCACGGTGTGCCATCCCTGTCTCCATCCCCATCAGGCCCGGGAGTCCCTGAGAGCCCAGTGAAAGGGCAGTCCTTCCCGGACAACGCCTCCCCCTTTCTTTCATGGCTGGTCTCTGCCAGGCTGCAGCCCCAAGAGCTCTTGAGCCCTGAGCAGAGCTGGGGGCTATGGCAGCTCACCCACCGGCAGAGACGTGCCTGCATGCCAGGTACCCCAGCCAGTGGGTGCTGGAACTGGGATTTTGTAAATTATCCTGACAAAACATCAGATTACCAAAGGAATACATCTTTACTGTAGGAAATTAGGGCAATATCCTTGGGAAAGGAAAGCAACCCATAATCCCACCACCTAGATTTTAATATATGACCTGCTGGTCCTTTGTAGGGCATATTAATAAAACCAGGGTCCTACGGAACATGTTCCTCTGTCACCTTATTTCACTTCGTATGTGGGACCACTTGCCCATGGGCCCCAGCACTCTGCTACAACATCATTTTGGATGGCTGCGTAATATTCCACTACACAGACCACTGTATTCTATTTAACATCCCCTGTTGTTGGACACTTTGGTTATTTCTAGTTTATTGACTCGTATCAAGCATTGCTCCCATACATGTTCTGGGATGCTGTCTGCCTGATTTCCATCCCATAAAGTCCTAGAGATACAAGGGTTCTGGCAGAGGCCATGCACGTATTTGAGATTTTTGACTCACTGGCTAGAGTTGAGATTTACATCCGGGCCTGCAGGCTCCAAATCCATGCTGTTCCATTAGCCCGCACCCTCTCACCTCCCCAGTTCTCCTTACTCCTGGTTCTGTCTTCCTTTTGCTACATCTGTTCGTTTCTGTTCTTTTCCCCAAGTTACCGCTTAATGGATGGAAGCATCTAGAAATAGGCTCTCAATCCTGGGAGTTCCCCACCCCCCATCCTGCAAGGCCCCTGAGCTATAACTGGTGAGATCTTTGTGATTCCGATGGCTTGTGAGCCTATTACAGGGGAGTAGAAGGAAGCACACAGAAGATCATGGTTGTTCCATCCTAAGAGCATGACGTTGAAAAGAACCTCAGTGTCCATCTTTAGGGGAGTGGAAAAATAAGTTATGGAGGAATGCTTCATAGCTGGAAAAAAGAATGAGAGTTGAGCGAAAAAAAAAGTTGCAAACCATTACATGTAGTGTATCATTTCTGTTTTAAAAATTGCAAACAAAACCATCGATTTTCTGTGTGTCTGTGTACGGGAGAGGGAGAGAAAGAAAGCTAACACTTACTGAGACCTTACAATGGACCATATATTCTTCTATTACTAATGCATTTACTTGCATGAACTCATTTACTCCTCAGAACAGCCCAGTGAGGTGTAGGTACTATCATTATTCCCATTTAGAGATAAGGAAACGGCAGTTCAGAGAGGTGAGGTAACTCTCCCCAGGCCACACAGCCGATGTTGGTACAGCTGGCATTTGAACCCAGGCAGGCTGGCTCCTGAGTCTGCTCTTAGCTGCTGTACTATTTCAAGCACAGAAACAGGATTGCAAGGGTGTGCCCCAAAATGCCAAGACTGGGTCCCTGTAGGGAGCTGATGGCCTGGGAGTGGTGACCACAGGGCCTCTTAGCCTTACCATTAGTGTTTTATAATTATTTCTCAAGAACAAAATATCCATCTTACACATAAGATGTCACATAAATAAAAAGTTATTTTTAAAAATCAGAGATATCACGGAAGCAGAATTTAAGCACCAGTGGTGTGCACTGCCCAGTACTTGTATGAACGAGTCCTCCGACTTCTCACTGCGTGCTCTTACCCCATTGTACAGAGGAGGTATGATGAGGCCCAGTGAGTTGCCTGCAGCACCACAGTTGTTGAAGGCACAGCTGGCCCAGGGCCAGGTACCCCCAGCCTTTGCAATTTCCCCAGAGTGACTCAGCAGGGAGCCCGCCCAGGTGCCATCTGGGTCTGCCCAGGCCCCATCCAGCCTCTCCTTTCTCTCCAGGATCGAGCGATCCACAGACCAGGTCATCAAGCCTGTGAACCTGGAAGCACTTTCCAAGTGGACCGGCCACATCCCTGGGGACGTGTTGAGGGACATGGCCCAGATCGCCCCCATGCTGGCTCGGCTCGGCTATGACCCTTACGCAAACCCGCCCAACTATGGCAACCCCGACCCGATCGTCATCAACAATACACACCGGGTGAGTGCACATGCACACGAGAAGATGTGCTCTCAGGCTGTGGCAGGGGTGGAAGCTCCGGCTACCTGAGAAAACATTTAGTCTCTTGTTTCCCAAGCAGTTGGTTTGTTTCTATCTTATGGACATAGTGAATTGTATGACTTCTTGTATTTCCATTTTTGCTTGGGCCACAAGGAAGCTCAAAACCAATCCGTAGCCTGTCTCTTACACTCTAAAGCATTTTACAGGAGGCCCATTTGTGCACTGATTTCATCCTATTTCTCAACTCTTATTTACCCATTCCCCTCATTTCCCTGGCTGTTTGTTCCTTTGTTTGTAAAGCACTTCAAGTCTTTGTTGAGGCTGTCATAAATAAATCAACTATTTATTTTTATAAATAAAAGTCATTCCCCTTTATTGCCCCACTAGGTTTAAGGTTGATTTCTCAGACAAATGTGAGCTGAGGGCAGTTTGAGTTCTTCTTAGGCAGGGTGGTCAAGGGAGATGACTTTGACAAGATGTTTGTGAAGCGTTCGAGTAGACTAACCCTGGGTACAAGAACAGTTAACACCTCCAGGCTCTTCTTTATACGTTGCTGCCACAGTTGCTGGTTTACGTTGGGTGCTGCTTTCTGACTTCCTTAGAGGCGCTGAGTTAGTGAAAATATTTGAAAGGGGGAGCCAGGCCTGAGGAGGAGCCCTCCTGGCGCTTCCTTCCATCGTTAAGACCCAGAGTCTGAATTTAACCTAAGCCCAGCGTTTCTGAGCACCTGCTGATTTTAGGAAGTGAACATTTCTTGCCTTGAAGCCCAAAGGAGCAAAGTCATTCCTCTCTCAGTTCTCCTGTAATTCTTCAGTTGACTCAAGGAGAAGGACTCCATTTGGTGCTACGGGGTCTTGAACGACTCTCTGATATGCGCAAGCTCGCCTTTTCACAGAGAGAATTTACTAACCCTGACTCTGGGGCCTCTGCCCTGGTAATTGAAGTGTAATCACATTAGTTATGCTTCCCCCCGACATCAGTGGATTTTGCAGACCGTTTATGGGTGGAAATACTCAGAGATCCGACGTAGATACCCAGACTGCATTCACAGTGTGGATGTTCGCAACCTGGATGTGGTTTCTTTTTATCATGTTGTTATTTTTATTATAAATATTTATTATATTTAATTTGTTGATTTTTTATTATTCTTTAATAATAATTATTCTTTAAACTGTACTTATGTGTTTTATATGCTATATTTCACAATAAAAAATTAATTAACTGGATGAAAAAGGAGCAGCTGGCGGTGATCTGGAAATCCAGCCCCAGGGCAGAATGAGGACCGTCGCGTCACCACACTGTGCTCTCCTCACCAGCCAGGGGCCCCACAGCAGCTTCTCTGAAGTCTCTTTAAAAGGCTGGCTTGTGGGCCGGCCCCGTGGCTTAGCGGTTAAGTGCGTGCGCTCGGCTACTGGCAGCCCGGGTTCGCATCCCGG